CCAGAAAAAGAGTTCCAAAAGTGTTTTGAAGGGTGGACTAGGCTAGCATCAGTGCATAGCTTCCCAAGGGGAGTACTTTGAAGGTGACCATAATGCTATTCAGCAATGAGGTATGTAGCACTTTTTCTAGGATGAGTTTGAGAACTTAATTGTCCGACCTTGTGTATAATTGGTGCTTAATGAATGAACATTATCTTCTACTTTCTATTTTAATGTATGTGGCTTCTTACATAGTTATTATGTTTTAAAAAGTACTTTCATGTGTTATCTCCCTGGAAGATTGAAAGTTCTTCCCAGCCTAATGAGAATTGATTTTATTTATTTTTAATGAAGAGAGTAACTAAACATGTAGAAATGTAATCAGTATACACGAAACCACGCATAGATTTTTATATACCATCTAAATCTTTTGTGTATTTCTTCCTCTACCCAAGCCCTAATCCAACCTAGCACACAAAACTAGATTCACTAAAATAAACTAGGTTCATTAAAGTCCAAATAGGTTAGAATTCAATACAGAACAAACTTGGAAATTTATAACCCACTGATGAAAATTTATCAAAATATTTAATGAATTCACCTCTGCTCCCTAGTACTTTTCTCCACCCCATCTCTTAGTTATGCTTTACTGGCTGAGAAGTATAGAAATCCACAACTGGAAGACTTCATTACTTTTAGAGAATGCACTATAGTATGTTTACTATAAATAATTCACACAATACTACACTTGTCAAAAAGAATGAATAAAATATATATCATGGTACAGGAGCCTTGATTTTTATTGTTTTTGCTCACTTACTCACTAATTCTCCAACTGCAGCTCCCTGTCACTATGAGTTAAAGTGGTTCTGTTGTATACAAATATTGTATTCTGGGTAATTAGATATCGGGATAGAACCCTCTGTAAATTACTTTAACTGGTGTCAGTATAGAAGCAAATAAGAACTTTTTAGTTCTGTTTTTACTTTGGGTTATTTTCTGACCCTAAACAGACTGACATAAAGGAGTGATTTTCTTTGTCAAATGCAGCCTTTTCAAATCTAACTGCCAGACACACTATTGAGCTATGTGATCAATTCTAATTGGCTGAGATCTTTTCAATTTGGCAGTTTCATCTTTAATGCAATGGATGTATGATTACGTGTAGGTCTTTTCAATGGTTTTTCCATACAGGTACTTAGGGCAGAGGGATTTGAACATAAGCAGGCTGCTGGCTATTTCTTTTGGCCAATTTAAATTGATTCATACAAGTCCTTTGTACCCCAGGGAAAGGGCAGAACAAATCCAAGTGAGTGAGACAGCTATCGCTACTTTCAGATGGAATAGTAGAAAAGAAGGAGGGGCAGACTTGGAGAGGGGAAATACTCTAAATATTGTAAAATTGGAGCTCTGAGCAGTCTGGAAGAGAAGTACTGAAACTTAACTAGTTGGCTTCTGTGTAGAATCAAAGTTATCAGGAAAATTATTTCCAGGATTGATTTTGATATCTTTAGGCTAAAAGGACTGTGTAAATGAACAAACAAAACAATACAAACAAACTCATAGAAATAGAGATGACAGGGATGGTTACCAGAAGGGCAGGGATAGGGGATGGGTGAAAAAGGTGAGAGGGAATACAGTTAATAATATTTTGACAACATTGCATGGTGACAGATGATTACTAGAATAGTCAGGAGACCACACTGTAAAGTATAAAAATGTTGAATCACTATACTGTATACCTGAAACTAATATACCATTGTATACCAACTATGCGTGAATACAATTTTTTAAAGGATTATGTAAATAGAAAGTACTTTTCATATCTTATTCTGCAGGGAGCAATGGTAAGTAAAATATTTTCTGAAAGTATTGCAAAAGAAAATAAGATGATTCTTCCAGAACTCCAAAGGACCCCTGAACATACTATATCAGAATAGCAGAGACAGGATCAGGTAAAAATTTTATTTAGGTCAGGTGAAAAATGTGTCTTGGAACCATTCAAACAAAGATGGATGCTACTGAGAAAGAGTCTCAGTTTTCTGTTAGGTAGTAGACTAGGATGAGCTATTTAAATTGGTCACATCCAAAAATACTCCTTTTCCAATAGACACCCTGGTGATGAGGCTCTCATCTGGTTTATCTCTCTTGGGAAAGAAAACCATGATAGCGCCATTTCTACATCCTCTCTACTCCATAAAGAAGGAGCTCCAGGTGGAATTTTAGTGCTTCTACAACTCGGTCTCCAACTTGCTCAGGACAATCCTTAGCATGCCACATCCATTAATTTGGTGACTCCCTCTCCAAGGGGGAAAGGAAAGCATTTCTTCATCCAAAGAAAATAGGGGCAGTGCACTGCTGACAATATTTTAGCAAGGCCATTTCAGTCCTCCTTTAATACGTGAAAAGGATGCAACACTTCTGCAGCAAAAGAAAATAGCAGCAATTTCATTTTGTTGGTTTGATTTGCTCTGCCCTAGAACATATGCAAAGCATCCATCTGCCTCCTGAGTCTTAACAATCAATTTGTTAAAATTCATAGTAATAATGAAATGCAATGCTGATGCCTGGCATATTAGTTGAACAAATAAGGGTGACAAATATGGCATATGTTGCAGATACCAGTGGCTAAGTCCTCTAAGCTAAAGGACTTTTATTGTCAATTGGTAGGAAATCTTAGGAGCTTCCACAATAATTCATTGTTTCATAAAGTGTGAGAGTCTACAAAAAAAAAAAGTAAAACCAGTTTTCAACTATCACTCTCAATCAACTAAAAACAAACAAACTCAACCCCTGAGAAGAGCTAGCTGCAGCCGCTATTTCTGAGCTGTCTTCCGGAAGACTAATGCTTTGTAAACAGTCTTTCTCTGAAACTCAAATTCCCTAAGAGACAGTCTGAGAATCACTTGAATAAATGCAGTGTTTTGAGTAAATAGAACTTAGTAAGGCCTTCTGAAGCTTCAGAATAGGTACGATTTTCCAATTGATACTCAAATACAGAACTATAGAATTTCTTTTATATAAAGTAAGAGGCCATGACACCTAACAGAAATGCATACAGATATTCATCAAAAGATATGTACATGAATGTTCACAGCAACAGTATTCCTAATAATCCCTAATTAAAATTATCCAAATGCCTCTATACAGTAGAATGAATAAATACATCGTGATATAGTTGCAAAATATTAAACTATACAACAAGAAGGAACGGTCTACAACTACCTGCAACAATATGGATGAATCTCACAAATTGTTGGTCAAAACAAGCCAGACACAAATACGTACATACATAACATTCCCTTCATATAAACTACAGAAAGAGGTAAAGCGAATATATGCCCCAAAAAGACACTGGTATCCTTTTTGGGGAGTGATTGGAAGAAAAAGTAAGTGGGGCTGATAGGTGCTGCCCATGACCAATTTCTTCATCTGGATGCAGAGTGAGCTCAGTTTGTGAGAATTCATTGAACTATAACGTGCAAACGTGTGTGTGAGTATTTATACAACTTAAATAAAAAGTAAAAAACACAACAGGCCCATATCTAACTCATTACCTGCTATTCCATGTCTGTTCCATTGTCTCTATTACGGTAACTCCGATACCATTTTTTCACTAAGCAGTCTTCCGGCCTATATGTTTTTCTTTCTCCTTGTCTCTGTGCTTACAACAGCTCCCTATTTCTATCCATCAAATTCCATCTCTTCTTTTATTAATGGACCTTCATGTCCTGCTTCAGTCAGGTAACTTTTTAGAGCCACCTGCTGGCCTGAGAAATCTAGTTGCTCTCCTTTCACATTGTCTTCTAAGATTCTAGCATTTAAAAAGATAAGAGCACTCCTTTACACTCTTTAAACATCCTAATAAGACAATGCAGGCATCAAAGTCTGACATATTTTACAGTACTTAATTGTACCTCTCAGATTTCAATAACAATGTGTATTGTTCCATGTTGTCTGGAAATCATTTATTTATTTATTTATTTATTTATTTATTGTGTTTAAATGTCCAACAGATTTTTTTATTATCTTCAGAATGACTCCGACCACTAGCCAGCCATCTCTTGTCTGGAAATTTAAGCTCCATAAGAGCTTACATGTATAGAGCTCACTTATGTACAGCTCTCGTAATAATGATAAAGATGCGATTTCACCTTCTGATTGTCTCCAGTATCCTTTCCCTTAAAATGAAGAATTCATTATTAATCATATTTATGTGTACACTACTACTATTACCAATGTTATTATTACTGAAAGGCCAATTATTAGGTGCTTATTTTGTGCCAACCACTGTTGCAAGCAATTTGCACATACTATCTCATTTGCTCTTTACAATCTTGTGAAGTATAATAGAAGTTGTTATTATCCTCATTTTTCAGATGAAGAAACTGAAGTTCAGCAATAACAAATAACTTGCCCAAGATCAAAGATCATGGCTTGATTTGAACCCAGGTGTCCTCACATCAGAGCCCAAGCTCTCATCGTTTCGAGTTCAAGTAAACTTATACTTAAGCGCTAATCATTGGCTCTCTTACTCTTTCTAGTGCAGGCATGCATGGTCGGCAGAGTTATATCTGACACATATTCTCTTTCTTTCTCTATATTTATTTCATTTTAAACAATGTGAATCCACATCAAAATCCCCCTACATAAGAGATATGTCTACTCTGTGTCTAACTCTGTAGGAGATATGTAGATATGTAACTCTATGTCTACTCTAAGGAAGTAACTATCATTACGTGTCACAATTTTGTTTTTCTAGTACCTAGGAGTGTGATGGCACATTCTCTTTTCAAAGTGCCAATACCTAGAATGCCTTTAGTTCAGCTGTAACTCAGGTGTTTTCTTCCCTAGTGATGATCTATAGGACTCTTTCATCCAAGTCCCCAAAACTTCAATATAATCTACTGAGAAATTGAAATGTACAAGTCATGCAAGCAAAATAATTATTGATGCATTGACATAATCTATGCACACAGTTCCAAGTATCACTATAGAGAATGCAATGATGAAAAATATACCTTTTTCATAAGCCCACATCAAACATGTCTGCTCATCCTTTTCACCACTAGACCTGCTGGGATCACAGGCTACCAGGTTCATATCAGCTCCGTTATCCAGTAAGAACTGAACCAGGCGAATGTGGCCATGGTAGCAAGCAGAGTGCAATCCTATGACAGAATATGAATGTGCAAAAGGAAAAAAGAGGAAAACAAAACCCCAATTTTCAAAAGAGTCATTATCACATACTAACATTGTTGCCAGAGATATACAGCAAGGATTTATTTCTTTGATAAAGAATTTATTACTAAGCAAACTATATACTTTAAGCAAAAGAAGTATCCTATTCTAGTTGATCTTCTAAATAGACTGCTTTTTGTAGAGCACAATTTCTGGTATTTCTGTTCCCACTGTAATTACTAAGAATAGATGTTAGCATCTTGCTACAAATCAAAGAACAATGACCCCAATCAATTAAGAGCAGCAAACCAAGGGGAATGCAGTGACATCAGTCTTTTCCTGGTGCAGGCCATAAGGGATGTAGATAATTTAACATAATAATGAAACTGACCCAAAGTCAGCCTGCTTTGCATTATCACCATGGACTATCAATTGTAAATGATGCAATGGATAAACTATCCCTCCCCATTGGGGTTGACCACTCCCACTGCCCCTTCTTTCCTGAGCAACTACTGTTCTAGAGTATTGATAGGCATCAGAAATCGGTGATGTTCTCACCACAGTCTTACCTGTGTGTCCATCCCTTCCTTGGTGGTTGATGCTTACGACATTCTGATCAAGAAGAAATTTAACCAGTTCGATGTTCTTGCCATAGGTACAAGCACTGCAAAAAATACACCACCAATAAAATAGAAGGCCCTTGTTACAGGCTGAATTGCATGCCCCCCAAATTAATATGTTGCATCCCTAACTTCCATAATCTCACCATGTGATTATATTTAAAGAGGTACAGTTCAAACAGCTAATTAAGTTAAAATGGAATCATTAGGGTGGGCTTTTATCCAGTATGACTGGTATCCTTATAAGAAGTGGGGGGTTAGTACATTGATGATAGGAACAGAAAAACCACCATGTGAAGATACAGGGAGAAGATGGCCATCTACATACTAAGGAGAGAGGCTTCAAAGAAGCCAAACCTGCTGACACCTTGATCTTGGACTTCCAGCCTCCAAAACTGTGAGAAAATGCATTTCTGGTGATCTAGCAACCTACTCTGTGGAATTTTGTGTGGCAGCCCTAAAAAAGCTAATACAGACCTGATTTACCCAGGCTATTCTAGATACTGGTGTATATAAAAGTACCAAGAGACAGAGAAGGGAGAAGGAGGGAATGAAAGAGGAGGAGGTGGTGAAAACCCAGCATATACAGAATGAAATCCTGAGGCTTCCCATGTCTGGGCCTTCAAGAAAAGAGTATTGCCTGGTATTTTCTTAACAAATATTTCCTATGATATTAATCCTTTTTCATAAAAGGAGGGACAATATTGCAAGAGTTCCAAGTATTTTTAACTACAGGACGTAGGCATTCTGCAGGATAATCGAATGGGGGAACCCAGGAAAGCCGTATGAGATTTAGTCAAATCCAGGTCACGGTCTAAAATTTTTCCCTGTGAAAGCTCTGCACCACCTCTCTGGAGACTTCCTCAGTCAGAGGGCAAAATTTAAAAATTGTCATTTTATTCAGGAAGCATTGATTGTGGAGTTAAAAACCTAGAGCTCTGGCACATACAACTAGCCAGAAGACCTCAGGCCAGTTCTCTGACCTCCTTGAGTTTTAGTTTATCACCTATAAAATACTAATAATACTTTTTCTACCTGCCACACTGTTGCTGAAATTTCAAGTGAATTGATGCTTATGGAAGTACATTATAAGCTATAGAAGAGTATTCATTGCTAGCTCTTTCGTGATGGGAGAATGTTTCTGTGGAAAATTAACATATTTCAGGACACAAAGGAAATAAGATTCTTATAAATTTTCTAACTAGACATGCTGAAGAGTTAATTGAAATTCTGATTTCCACTATTTACCCTGAAAACTAAGGTGCATAGAGAAAAAATATTTTATGTAAGATAAATCATGCCTAGTAATGACTACTGGATTTTAGCTTTTGACTAGTAATTCTCTGAGATTTTCTTTTTCTATAGTTTCCCTCATACCTCTTCTTTTGCTATCACTTGCTCATTAGCAATATTCTACTTCTAAACTCCAGGGAGCTATATGGTATATGATGGGTGACTGGAGGTGGCTAACATTGGGCAGAACCACATCTAAATCATGGCTAAAGGAAGGGACTCTGTGATATTGTGATGTATAATGAAAATATATATTTGGTCTTCAACCTCATGGCTGGCACAGAGCTCTTAAAACTCTTGCAATTTCTTAAGCAATGAGAGCAGTGGGGGGATCTTTTGTTACAATATTTGGTCTTTTGTCCTCCATTCTGAAATAGCTCCAGAGGGATAAAAGTGAAAGGAGCATCTTTTGTTATTCCTAACAATCCCCTTTCAACCATCCCTGTGTTTAGGTGAATGAGGTGATTTTTGGAAAGCCCCAGAGAACCACAGGTTGAGGGATGGTTGTCAGAGAAATCAACCAAGTAATTAGAGAGGGTTGTCAAACCCATCACCCAACATCAGGAGAAGGGAGAGAGGAAGAAGGTTGAGTTAATCACCAATAGCAAATAATTTAATCAAACGTGCCCAGGTTATACATGAAAGTCCCTGAAGCACGGGGTTTGGAGAGGTTCTGGATTGGTGAACTCATCGGTGTGCTGGGAGGCCTCACATCCCTGTCCACGTACCTTGCTGTATGCTTCTCTTCCATCTAGCCATTCCTGAGTTGTATCCTTTTATAATAAACTGGTGACCTAGTAAGTAAACTATTGATATTTCCCTGAGTTCTGTGAGTTGTAGCAAATGATCAATCCCAAGCAGGGGTTGGTGAGAACCTCTGATTTAGAGCCAATGGGTCAGAAGCATAGGTGATAACCTGGCCTAACGATTGGCATCTGAAGTAGGGATCAGTCTTGGGGGACTGAGCCCTCAACTTGTGGGGTATGACATTAACTTAAGTTATGTAGTGTCAGAACTGGATGGAATGCTAGGACACCCACTTGGTGCCTGCAGAGAATTAGAGACTTTCTCGGTGTGGGAAAAGCTCACACACAGCTGGTATCAGATGTATTCCAGAAGTGAAGTGTTGAGTCTCCTAGGAGAACACAGGAAAATAGTGTTTTATCCTTCCAGACTTGGTTCTAGAAGAGGCAGTTCCCTGGGTCTTACTGTTACCTCTTTTTTGAATGGCCTTGCCCAAATTCTTTTTCTTTAATAAAATGCTTTTATTTTTTCTAAAGAGACACCATTATTTATCTAACGGAACTGTTGTTCCCTTTATGAAGTCTTGTCATGAACCATAGGCTGAGTTCATCGTTATCTCCTCTGCTTCTTGCCATTTAGGTTTTACTGCACCTACCACATTGCCGTGGTAATCGGCACACCTCTGCTTAACTTGGTACCTTACAAGAGTTCCTTTAAGAAGGGGAAGGACTCTTGTCATCTTAATGTCCCTACCTGCACCAACACAAGTCAGGATCTTAATAAATCTTTCTTGAATAATTCAGTAAGTAAAAACTACCATCTAAGTGCAATAGAGTATATCAGCATTAATTATAAGTAGTACCTATGACACTATACTTTTAATGTTCTATTGTTTGAATTACTTCATTGTTCCTTTTCTAAGCAACTATTTACAGGAAATGATGATCTCTGAGTACATACATACATGTATACACATAAGTGTGTACATGTGTATATACTTGTATTTATATATATTTTCATATATATGCACATATGAAAACAATAACAGAAATAAACACACTGTGATTTGTATATAGAAGAATTCATAATCAGAGTGAACACCTCATATAAAAGGAATCTTTCATTTATAAATATGTGTTTAAAATAAATAGAATAAAAGTATTAATATGCTATTTCTAGTAGATACAGGCTTGTGCAAAATAAAACAACTGAATACATACTTTTAACTCCGTTTACTAATCTTGTCATATAGACAATCTTCTGGAGGTGACAACCACCCTCTGATTATAGTTGGTTCCAATTTATGCTCACAGAGTAGCAAAATGATTTGAAAGCTAGCCTGAGGTGTCAGCCTTAACAAGCATGACCTATGGGGAAAGAGGACACCAGCAACCATATGTATCAGTTCTGCCAATTGTACCTTTCAGTGACAAGTCCCACTGATCCATTTTGACTGAGGGCATGATCTGAAGAGTTCTTGCATCTGTTCTGTTACAGAGTGTTTAGGAAATGGATAAAATATTTTGGTGCTAGAATGTAAAGATATATTAAAAAACACAGGCTTTGGAACTAGGCAGGCATTTACTGAATGATTTCCCAGCCATAAGAATCTCTGGCAAGGTACTTAGCTTCCCTGAGCCTTGATTTTCTCATCTGTAAAAGAGGGATAACAAATCCAACTTTATAAAATGGTTATGAGGATTAAATAAGATAATGGATGCAAGTAATCCAGTAGTCACTACTCCATCAATGATACTTTTCTTTGCCTCCTTTTTTTGCTGACCTCTTGGTTGATAAGAAAAAAATGTGGAAATCCAAGTGAAATTTGACAGGTTGATGCCTGATGCAGAGGCACACGCTTAATTTTAAGTTAGTATGAAAAAAAGTCTCATATTTATTATTTACCAGTGTAATAGAAACACTATGTAGATAACATATTCGTCCCAAATACATTTTTTAGAGGTTGCAAACTAGCCAAGAAATCTGTAACGTGTAGGTAAATGATCTTATATTCAAGATGTACTAAATTCAAATTACTATGTTTTATTTTTATAGCAAAATAGTAGCTCATTAGAAATGAGGGTTTCAAATTTTATAAGAAGGTGCCTTCCTTTTGGACATATTAGGGAGTTATAGCTCTGAATTATTGGCAACCTTTCCCCCCACCCCCCTGCCTCCCTTCTCTCCTTCTTTCTTTTTTTGTTAATACTTTTCCAAACCTAGCTGCTCCTTCAGTGTGCTTTTCTACAGCAAAAAGCACACTGCAAAGGACTCTCATGGGTTCCTGGAAAGGAGCTAATGCCTTCTTAGGTATCTCAGCGGCCACCCTGACTAAGCCTTTGTAGGCTGACAGATGGATGTCTTAGATAGGTAGATACATTTGCACATAAGGTTTAAGTGTTGAGGAAAAAAGTGTCACATTTGATGCTGATGAATTCTGGTAATGAGATCCTTGTCGGAGGAGGATTATGGGCCCTGCCCCTTTTGGCAGCTTTCTGCTGAGTGAAGTGGAGTAGAAGCAATATGCTTACAGATGTTGCTATGCCTGTTGCCTTGGCAACATCAGTCCCTGTCTTTGTGGCTGCTGCCAGGAATGCAGCATCTGGCTCCGGCCCCATCTGTTGTATTAACTGTAGCATCTGCCTCTACCTTTTCTTCTGTGCATCTAGCTCTGGTCCTTGTCCTCTGCCCACCCTCTGCTCCCGCTCCCTGATGACAACATCTGCCACTATTTGTTATGGCTTTATGTACACAACCGCAGGTGTCATGGGCTGTCAGCTAAGTTTAGTGGCTAGTGCACTTAAATATTCTTTTACCTGTGAAAAGCTGTTTCACTGAAGATGTTTTCCTTAGTCAGACTTTCTATTCCTGATAGTTGGATGATTTCCTTGGCGACTTCAAATTTGCCATTGTAGCATGCCCTAGAGTCAGAGAAAATGTGTTGATACTAGTAAAAAGGTGCATGCCACATACCTGAAGGACCTCTAGGACTACACATCCTACTCACAGGTGCAAAGGGGTGTCCCCATAAATATTAACTACATGCGGCTGAACTTCCAAATCACTCTGGAGCAGGTACTTCACTATGTCATGGTGTCCAAAGCGAGAACAGAAGTGAAGTGGGACGTGGTCTTCATTGTCCTGAGCGTTCACTGTCATGAACAAAAATGGAAAAAGCATGTTACCTGGAATCCTCTGTTCCTTAGGCTTCTCATGAGCAGTGTTAGGGGCTTTTCTAAGTGCCTGAGAGACTACTGGAAATTGCCAATTAATGATAATAATAAAGGAAATTAAGTGCAACCAATTTAAAAAGTTATAATTATATTCTATTGCCTATTAATGCATTAAACAGGCTTTCTTCTAGCTCCCATAAATTCTATGGGATGCACCTAATCAAATTTCCCTTGCACAATGGAATAGTTCAGGAAACTAATAAGCACCTAAACGGTACTCATGGCCTTAATTTCACAAGTATCTCCTTTCAAATTGATTTTTTTCCTCTGGAGAATGTTAAAAATTACAGATCCTGGCCAAAGTGCCATCCCAGAGGTTTCAGTCCAATAGTTTAGGGTGGAGCCAAGCACTCTGGATGTTTACAACACTGTTGAGGAGATTGTAACATACCCTTAACTGGGAATTGTCATATTATAGTATAAAAGTACTATATATATATATATATATATATATATATATATATATATATATAAAGCTTTAGAGCAGCAGTTCTCAACCTGTGGGTCGCGACCCCTTTGGGGGTCAAACGACCCTTTCACAGGGGTCGCCTAAGACCATTGGAAAACACGTATTTTCGATGGTCTTAGGAACCTAGACACCGCTCCTCTATCCGTCTCCAGGTGGTCCGCCCACATGCAGATACGCCCACACACAAGTACCCATTGTGATGACATCATCGCGCCAAACCCGTCACATACACCCTGTACAAATACAGGTGTATGTGACAGGGTTGGCACCATAATGTACTTATGCGGACCAGTCACACATGTGTAGAGAGCAGCTACTGTGTAGAAAGCAGCTGCTGTGTTGAAAGCAGCAATATTGGAGGTAAAACGACACTTCATGAATTATAAATATTTCACAATATATAATTACATATTGTTTTTGTGATTAAACACTCTGCTTTAATTATGTTCAATTTGTAACAATGAAAATACATCCTGCATATCAGATGTTTACATTACGATTCATAACAGTAGCAAAATTAGAGTTATAGAGTAGCAACGAAAATAAATTTATGGTTGGGGGTCACCACAACATGAGGAACTGTATTAAGGGGTCACGGTATTAGGAAGGTTGAGACCCACTGCTTTAGAGTGAGGCAGACCCATTAATTGTGTTACCTAAGTTACTTAACATTCAACTGTTTACTCATGGGTGGGCATTTGTCCTTCCTTTTGGCCTACCCGCCTCATAACCTCTTCTGACATTTGGGGAATTCTCTATACTGAAAGTATTCACTGGAGGCCAAGACCATGCTCTTTCTCTCACAACTGAAAATACGCTTTACTAGTCTCCTCTGCAGCCGGGGAACAGGATTAGCAGAGGGTTTAGGCCTGTTATTCTAGCATAATGTTTTCCTCCCAACAGTGCCATGATTGGGACACTTATCTGTAGGCTCCTCAAATCAACACATTCTATCAGACTCTGACATCGGAACTGATGACTAAAAAAGCAGAGCCTAATCCACCTGGGCAATGCAGCAGGGGTGGAATAGCTCCAACCAGTTTTCAGCAATGGTGATTCCAGTCATAGATTCAGCGCCCCACACTGCTGGTGCCAGAATCACCAGTGTTGGGGTGTGTGCCTAGCAGGGGTGGCAGTGTGTCTTCATAGGACAAGCTCTGGAATGTGATTTTGGACATAGTTCTTCACTGTGAGGATTCCAAACCTGGCTTTCCAACATTGTCTTGGGAAACATTCTGTATGCTGTTCGATATCCTTTAATATGTTCCCTTTAAGCTTAAATTAGCAAGAGTTACTTTCCAGTGCTTGCAAATGAGAACCCCAGACTGATACATACTCATTTCTTAACTGGCATTAAATGACCACTGTGCACCAGGCACTGTGTTGGAGGTATTGGCTTCTTATCAGTAACGATGGACGTAGTAACACTATTGTTGCGGGGGTGCTGCAAGGATTGAAGGAGAACACAACTGAAAAGCTTCCAGCATGATGCCTGTCAAATATTAGATGCTTAATAAAAATGTCTACTCTCCCATTTCACTAATTGCTCTCTTAGAAGTTTGCTAAGTCCTATAAGCGATAGATGCACAGAGTCTATAGCTTCAAATAACTTACAAGCTAGTTGAATAGTCAAGAATTACAGGCCTCAAATAATAATAACGGAACACCAAGCTGCTAAATTCTGGATCTGCTCTAGCACAATTTTTAAAACTAAAATAACTAGATCAACTGGTCTATAGCCATTTGTTTTATTATTTGATTACTTTGTCCATCTGTACAGGGTGCTTTATTCAAAATTGAAAAGAATGGCCCTTAACAAACCACATTAGTCCTCATTTAGTATTTATCTATCTATCTATCTATCTATCTATCTATCTATCTATCTATCTATCTATCTATCATCTATCATCTGTCTAGGGGGTGCCAAAAATGTATACACATTTTAAGAAATGAAAACTGTATTAAAATTGTAATACTCAATATATACTGATAACAAAAGGTGAATACAAGTCATGTTTGACTTCTGCAAACACAAGAGGTGCTCAAAGTGGTTACCATCAGCGTCCAGACACTTCTGATTACAGCGAACTATTGCTTGAACAACATTGACCAAAGTGTCTACTTGTATACATTTGTTTGGCAACCTGACATAGTGGAAATAATCCATAGAACCGAAAGAACTGATGAGAAAAACATTTTTTTTAAATGATGGAAAATAGAAAGGGAAAGAAAGGGGAGATAATATTTAATTTAAAAAATGTGCAAGCAGTTTATTACTACTATTGTTATAATTGTCATTTAACATCTAATGAACACTGATGTAGGACTACTATATTTGTAGATAATGATTCTCATTTTATTTTTCTGCAAGATCTTAAGCCAAAGGGAAATCTTTAACAAAGTCACTGACCTCCTACTCCCAAGGCTGTTATTGAAAAATAAATCTTTGAATCTTCTCTATTAATGAGTGACTCGGAAGGACACCCTTCCTTCAGAAGAATATTTCTGGTTATTTTGATTATCTTCCTTTTTATGAAACTTTCCCTTTGTTCACGTTCTGTTGGAAGCCAGGGAAAGTCAATACTGTGAGTCAATGCCTGAGAACAGTGGGGAGCCCAGGGCATCTGGAGGTCACGTAAGAGCTCTTGAGGTTCAGGGGGACATTGTAAAGCAGAATGCAGCACAATCTTCCATTCATTCATAATTTGCCTATGGCCATCCCTGGCCCCACCCAACATTATTCTTCTCTAGTGGAATCAATAAACTTCAAAGAAGATGATCTACTTGGTGAATGACCTGCAGTGGCCTAGATTTTCTTCCCATCAAAGAAGATATAAATGCCACCAAAGGGAGGAATGTGGATCAGACATAGAGTTTATGCGTATACACCTATATTTATGCTTCAGTCATTGTGATTTACTTAGTTTTGCCTTAGAACAATTTGCAAAGACAAAAAAGTGTACATATTATTATATCTTATCTTAGATTTGAGTAATATTCTATTTGCTCTAACTTAACATTACATTGAGAGATTTAAATAAAGTAGAATTTCAAGCAAATAAATACATGTAAATCATAATTAGGAAAATATTTAGTGCCTAGTCCTCTACTTTGAAGATAGTACGTGTTAAGTAATGTCCTTTGAAAGAAAGATTGGATGAATAGGTGGGCGAATAGATGATACTACTTGCTTTTACCTTTATTGATCTTAAAGGTAAAACAAAAAAATTACATATTAACCTAAAAATGTCAGCACATCCCATTAGCTCTCTAAAGCAACTCCCAAGTGTGTCTTAAATAAATTTTCAAAAATAAAATCCACGTAATAATTCTGACAAGATATATTTTTAAAAAATAAAATACTTCCTCTTACTGATCATGCCCTAGAAATTTTTGTGACTTTCTATAATACCCAGTTCCATGTTAAAAGTACTATGGCATTTAACATTCAGATGACAACACATTTAAGAATTCTGAATTTTAAATATTATAAGGACTGTATCACCATTTTCTTCTTATGGAGTCCAGAAATATTTTGACCTTTTCAAATCTCATTCAATAAGCATTACATTTCTCCTCTTTCACTGCCCTAAGATGTACAAGGAAAGAAGGCTAGAGACTTAAAACATACATGACTGAATAGGTCAGTCTCCCAAACATGCTGAACTGAAGAGGTTGCTTTCAGAATTACATTTTCGCTAATTTCATAACCTGAATTTATTTTCATTTGTGACATTCTATTACCATGGAAACATACTGTAAATGTCAGATTTCAAATTGCGCTCCTTTTGGGGTCACTCATTTACTTTTCCTTTTACGTCCATTTACCATGAGCAAGGTCCAGATCTAAAATAAATCATCTGGAGGCTTAGCTACATTTTGGAATACGTGAACAAGCTGATAATAAACCCTGTGCAGTGTCCATTGGCACAACAGATCTTCTGGCTTGTTCTTTGCAATCGGTTGAAGTGCAAAAGGTACTAAAATATCAAGTGTGTATTAGAAGGAAAAAAAAAACAAACTTTACAATCTGAGTCATGCTCTCTTGATTGTTTAAATGATTGAATAGTAGAAGGCATATGTAGTGCTTGTGTCAGTCTGAAAGAAATTGTCAAAAATTATATCATATGTTGCTGGTATGTAGGGGGAATACAGGTGCAGCACACTTTTCAATGCTTTTGTAGAAGAATCCTTTGATCCTGGAGACATGCTGATCATAAATGACATTCATTTTGACACCACTGAACTTTGGAATTGTGAAGAGGAATAAAAAGCTGAGGTTGACATCAGTAACAAAAGGAAAAAAAGCAACCAGTTCCTGACTCCTTGGAAGAGCAAGGCAGTTTCGAAAACACAATTATGTGTTCATTGATCACAGAGGTGTACCTCTGCCTATCCTAAACTAACAGAATTAAAGAGACTACTTAAACAAGGTCCAAGGAACTGCATTCCTTGTGTCCTGACAGCATGGGTTGTTTATGATAATACTATAAAGAAGATGCCTGAGTTATTGCACACTGGCTCGCAGTAAATGATACAAGCTATGTTGCTCAAAGTTTGCAAAATAAAATGGCCCTGTTTCCAACATGGAAACTGGAAAGTGCCTTAACTTCGAGTCATAGTTGTCTCTGGGGGGCTTTGTATTTTCCTTATGAGTAAATGAAAACATTGATTACCTTTATTAACTGAATATCAATCTCAATTTTGGACCAAAGAACTGGCAGTGCTAGAGCTCTGACAACCTTGTCCTTTTGGAAATGTGCATCATTTCTGCTGCAAAGGCCAGCAGCTCCTACAGCTGGGCTTTTAATTAGGTCTCTTGGGGGGTCAATGAAAGAATGTTGGATATGCCTGAGAGAATTTAATGACAAGATGTAACTCTGAGTGAATCTGTGTCAAAATAAAGTTCGTGAGGAAGGGAAAAGGAAAGAGAAAGAAAGATCGTTTTTCAATACTCTACTTTTAATCAATTTTCCAAAATTCATTTTATAATTTAAAAAATAAAAAAGTTGCAGAAAATTCTATTCTATTAACTCCACATAAAATCTATCTGTGCATTCTGAAACTCTTTTCCCCAGTCATTTCACATTCCAACTCTATTTCCATTAAAAATAATAGTAATATTAAATATTGGGAGAGTGTGGGAAATACCTGGAACTCTCATATATCACTGAGGGAATGAAAAAAAAAGTACAGACACTTTGGAAAACTGTCTGAAAATGCCTAAAAAGTTAAATACATGCATACTGTTTGATTCAGCAATTCCACATATATATTAATAATTGAATAAAAATAAAAGTGTTTCTGGCTGCTATATTCATAAAAGCCAAGCACTGAAAATATTCAAATGTCCATTAGGAGGTGAATTATAAACAAATTATGGGATAGTCATACAATCTTCAGCAATAAAATACAGCAAACTATGATTCATGCAACAACATGGATAAAAGTCTAAATCATTGTGTTGATCAAAAAAAGGCAGTCACAAAATTATATGAACTGCCAGAACAGAAATAACTAACCTACAGCGATAGAAGCTAGAATATTGATTACCTTTGGTGGTGAAAGCTGTTTACTGAGAAGAGGACACAGGGAAATTTCCCGAGTTCAACTTTCCAGATGAAATTTTTTCAACCTTCTAGATGAAAATACTCTATATCTTGACCTGGGTGGTTTTTACATGGGTGTATGCATAAGTAAATATTCACTTAATTCAATATTCACTTAAGTTTTGAGAATTTTGCTGTTTATAAATTTTATCTCAATTAAAACAAAATAAAATATTAGTGAATAACAACAAATAGGAATAATTTATCCAGGAAAACCCCTTACTTTTTACCACAGTATCTAATATATTAAGAGATGAGTTAAGATGTGTAAAGAAGGATCAACACATAGGTTTAATTAATATATTAAAGATAATAAATTAGAACTTGTAGAAAAAATTAGTAGATGAGTACAGGATTAATCATCTTCAAGATTATTCTCTAGTAAATAAAGTACAAGTAAAAAGTATGTGTAAAGTAAAATATACTAAAGGTCTTCTAAACATATCTTACCATCTGCTTTGCTGCCTTCTTCCATCAAGAGTTTGGCAATATTAAAGAATCCTTTTGCAGATGCTAGGTGTAGGGGCCTATCTCCAACTTCACCACTTACATTTACATCAGCGCCAAATTTCAAAAGGAGGCGGGTTACCTAAAAGATCCATTAATTTAGAATTAGTATCAAAGGTCAAACAATAATGCAAACCTTTCAGCAATGTGAAAGAAGACATATTGTTAAGGCCTTCTCTTAAGTTATTTTTACATGAAAATAACAGATAATCCTACAAGTGGCCTAAAGAAAAAGGAACTTATTATTATATCACCTAACAAGAAATTCAAAACTACAGCAATTTCAGGGTTAGGTCTTCATTGTATATAAAGTCTGAACAATCTTTCCCAATGTCTTGTGGGTAGAGCCAGCAGTATTTACTAGATTCTTGATTTTCACAGCAGCTCCATTCGTGGGTCACTGATAGCTGTCTTGCACTGGAGTTCTGGGTTCTTTTCTAGATTTTTTTGTAAATGGGAGATAGGTGTATGAGTCCTCAGCATCTTCCCCAATTAGCTGATTCATATTCAAAAGAACAGAGAGAGGTGAAGTATTAAACAACTTAGAAGTCTTCCAGGGTTTTTTCAGATAATTTATGGTATTCCTTTAAATCATTTACATGTTCCCTAAACCTAACATTGCCTCCCCTGGGAATTTCAGAAATCATCACAGTGATCCCGAGAGATAAGTTAGGATGCATTTGTGTCATTAAAATAAGTTATGGAAGGACCTCTCAATTGTCTTGACCACTGAGGTGTCAGCATAAAAGTGAATTGAAGTTCCACAACTATTTTGACTTTCTATGTGGCATCAAAGAAACATGTTTTGGGAAGAAACCTCTCACGAATATGGTACCTATATGATATGAATTCTAGGCAAAATGTTAACTGGATGGATGGGGAAACTTCCTTTTGAGGGTATAAGGCAAGCAACAAAGATTCTAAAATAGGCTTCTACTTATTAGCTACATCACCTTAAATAAATTATTTGACCTTTTGAAACTTCAGTTTCTTCATTGCTAAGATAGGAATAATAATAGAGCTAGCTCACTGAGTTGTTGTGGGGGTTAAATAAGCGATTACACATAAAGCATTTAGAAAAGTATCTATTACTCAATAAGTGTTGGCAGAAGTGGTAGCACCAATGTGGAGCATGAGTATTTTATCCCTTTGTTGGCTAATGGGCAGACCAACATTTAATTCAAGAGAAATCAGAACAGTGGAAATTTAGTCTTAAGAACCTTGCACTTCTAAGCACATATTTCCACTTACATGGACTCTATAAATTCTGATTATGTGACTTTATAATGGACAGATTTAAACTATTTTCAAAATCGATTGTCTATTAAGCAGCATTATTATTTACCTAGGAAATATTGCTCTTGGTACAAAACATCTACCCTTCCACTTAAAAATAAGTAAATAAACAAATGGCAAGGAACATGGCACATTAGGCACATTTATATGTTGAATGTACCATTCTCCTGTCAGCATATTTTAGCAAATGACAATAGCATCCATAAATTACTTATGTGCTGTCTTTGCCTACAGAAAGCGAGTCCCTTATCATAAAAGGGCCATCCACATTTTAGCATAATTTCATAAGACTGTGACTATATATTCAGGGAAAGTAAACACATTTAGCTCTCTACCCAATATGCATAGAAGCTCTTTATGTTTCCACTAGGTGATGAGGTTAATCACCAAAGAAAATGACTCTACAGATAACATGCATTGTGTACGCGTATATCCTGTCTGTGCCTGAAGTCAGAAAAGCATGGGTTTTTTTTTTATCACCTGGGCTCTTGGACCCTCTACTTTCAAAAGCATTTTCTGTGCCCAGCTTTCCAGCACACTCCAGTGCAGCCTGAGTGGCACACCAGTGAAATGAGCAATCTCCACTAGCTATAGGTCGTGCTTCACAGGCCTGAGAGGGTCCAAGCATATGCCAGCTAGAAAAGAAATAAAGGCATAATGACTAGAACAGCACAGAGACATAAGTAAGTCCAATTATCAGCTTGGGATCCTCAGGCAGTACAATGGCATGACCTCTACAAAGGTAAAAAGGTGTAATTCTACTCCATAATTGAGTAAGACTAGAGATCTACAGATATAAAATGAGGATGAGTGAAAATGGGATGTCAAAAGAACTGTTAAGTTTTGGTTTTTCCAGTTACATTTCTGTTTCTGTTTTATTTGGTTCTATTTAGTTCTGTGAGTATAGCTAAAGGGCAGTGTTTGAAAGCAGTATGTAAAAATTTTGTCTTTCGGTTCGTTAAGGTTGAAAATCAATGGACTTTGCAGTTCCAGCATCTGTCCTTGAGTATTACCTCCACTCAGGGAAATTGCGTGGGCTTTATGATTTGGTTCACTAGCAGAAGAGGGATAAGAAGAGCTTGCTCTTTGGCACAACTGAATGCATATGGGCTTTGGGATCAGACAGACCTGAATATATATTCCAGGTCTATTATCATCTGCATGACTCTGGCATGCTACCTGACCACAGTGAGCTCCATGTGTATCATTCATAAGAAGGGCCAAATGACAGCTAATTTCAGGATTCTGGTAAATTTTTTTTTAAACCCACATAAAGTTCTTATCTTAACACAGTGCCTGTCTTGTATGTAGTATAAGCTCACTCACATTTTAAGTTCCTAAGATTGTCATGAAGGTGAAATGAAATCATTTATTTAATGAAAGTACATTGTAAACTTTAAAACATTCTATACATGTTATTACTTTATTACAGAATATCAAATTTTATAAAAATGTACCTGTTCTATAATTATAGATTTAAAGCAAATTATATAACTAAAGCACATTTAGTGATTGTGTTTTAGTTTATCTAGGTTATTCCATGTCTTAGTTTCCCATTGCCACTGTAGTAAATTACCAAAAACTTATTGGATTAAAACAAAAGATGTATTCTCTTGTAGTTCTAGATGTCAGAAGTCTAAAATCAAGGTGTTAGAGGCCTGACCACCGCACTGTATTTCTGAAGCTGATGTTGAATAATATTGTATATCAACTATAATTATATATACATATAGTCACGGGATGTGGAGTAGAGTGTGGGAATGGAGTCAGTGGAATTGTAATAGACAAGCATGATATCGGGGGTGGGAGGGCAGTGGATGGGGGAGGGGGTTTGTACTTTGTGAGGGGTGAAAAGGATAACTATTGCATTGTTCTGTACACCTGAAACTAACAATAAAATAAAATTTAAAAATAAATAAAGATAAAGTCACTGATTCACAATCATAAAATAAAATAAAATAAAATCAAGGTGTTAGTAGGTTGCATTCCCTCTGGAAGCTTTTGCTTCCTTGCTGTTTCAGCTCCTACAGGCTGCCTGGTTTCCTTAGCTTGTGGTCCCTTCTTGTACCCCTTTAACCTCTTGCCTCCATTGTCACATCTCTTATTACTCACTCCAATTTCCTGCTTTCTATTACAAGGACCCTTGTGATTATATCAGGCCCATCCAGATAATCCAGGATAACCCTCCTACCTGAAGGTCCTTAACTTGATCACAGCTGAAAAGTCCCTTTTAAGGCAACATTCATCGGTTCTGGAAATTAGACCATGAACATATTTCAAGAGACATTTTTGTGTTTTTTTAGCTTAACACATCTCATGCCAGGAGAAAGGAGAAATCCAGTCTCTGAAAGATACCTTTTTTCAGAACTGTTGGAAAGGCCATTGTGATTTGTTTCATTGCTAGCGTCACTAACACCAAATAACAGTGATATTAAGCATTTGCCAAACACTTTAAATTAATATTTCATCATAGCAGCAACCCTATGAGGTAGGTACTACTGCTATTTTCCTCATTATATAGATGAAGAAACTGAAGATCACACACATGGTCATAAAGCCAGAATTTTTTTTAATATAATTAGTTTATTGGGATGACAATGGTTAGTAAAGTTACATAGATCAGGGTAAATGGGATCAAATACATGGTGATGGAAGGAACTTTTCAATCTCAGGATCACTGATTCCTGCAGCTGTCCGCCTACCAATGTGCTCTACTGCCTCCCCTGTGTACTAAAATAGTCAGTAAAAATGAGTAACTCAGCAACTGCATTGTTTTTGTGGATCTACAGGCTCCTCAAGGATGAAGCTGATAGGAATATGGCAAAACCAACTCAAAGGCTATCTTACCTATCCTTTCTTTGAAGCTAGGACAGTTCAACAAAAACCTGGGATGCTGAAGTGGTCCCCCAGCTTTTGGGAATCCTCCTGTCAGACTTACCTGTTCATGCCCATAGTAGGCTGCAATGTGCAGTGGGGTGAAAAAAACCGCATCTTGAACATTGACATTAGCTCCTTGCTGCAGCAGCACATCAGCAGCCTGGAAAAGAAAGAGAGCTCAGGACCCTTATTTGGGGCACCTGCCCATTGAGATTTATTTTACAAACATCATACATGAGTCTTCTTCAGGAATCAACATCCTAAAACACAATTTCCATCTATCTCCCTTCTACAAAACCTCCAATGGCTTATTTTTGCCTAGAAAATAAAGACCAAGTCCCTTACTATAACATTCAAAGTAGTCTCAATCTGATGACATCCTTTTTAATGTTATTTCCCATTACTCATTACACAATATACCCAGCTGTATAGTCAAACTGCATTCAGTTTCCTGCTCCTTTGAGTCTTTGTTGACATTATTCACTCAGCTAAGAATTCTCTTCTGCCCAATCTACAGAGGTTTAAACTCAAGCTAAATGCCATCTCCTCCAAAATTTCTTTGATTTCCCTCCCTTCATTGCCAACTGACTTATTGGAATTGTCTTCCCTGCTCTTAAATCTCATATAACTTTAGTTCATGCCATATAGAACATTTAAAAATTGTATATACATACCTTACTGTTTTTAAATTCTTTAAGGACAAAGTGTATATCAGCTCCATCTTTAAAATTCTACCATAGCATGTAGCCAAGCAAATAGCAATCATTCAGTAAGCATTTGTTGAATGAATGTATGAGTGAATGAATGAATGAATGAATGAATGAATGAGCAAGTGAAAAACGCTACTAAGAGCTATTGGCCAGCTGTCTTCGTAGAAAGCTAGAGATTGCCAACAAACCTGCTGACCCTCCAGGTTTCTTCTATTTCCAAAGTCCCATCTCTAAATCTCTCTTCTCTGGAAAACTGACTGGAATAATATCCTTAAGATACGTTGATTTTCATTGATGACTTTCCTAATACACTGTTTATTCTTCAGTTGGTCAAATAATAGGCACTTGGAACATTTTTCTAAAGTCAGTTGGACTGAGAGGATGCAACAGGAAGATGAGATCTAAGAGCTCACGGGACTTGTACTCCAACACTTCATCTGTTCTTACAAAAAAGTTGCCTCCTCAGTGAAATTTCCTTGCCTATTTGAATCGCAGGCCCTCAGAACTGGAGAGAGACCATGAGAATTATAGATCAAACCCCTATGTTTAAAAAAGGAAGAAACTGAGAACCAGAAGAATTAGGAAATTTCTCAAAGTCATGAAGCAAGAAAGTAAATCTTCAGTTTCTTGCTTCCAGCTATGTTTCTTTCTGAATGTTCCATAGTTTTAAATAGTCCATTCATTAATCATCCATTTATTCCTGCATCTAACACAATTTATTGAGCATGTATGAGCTAAAACTGTTGTTTTACATGGTTATCCTCATAGGTTATTCAGCCCACGTGATAGTGTTAGAATTGATTATAATTGCCATACAAAGGGATAGAGAATTCTTGCTGGGGGCCGGCCAAGTGGCGCGATGGTTAAGAACTGGCTTGGGATGCCAGAGGGCCCTGGTTTGGATCCCACATATGAGGGCCAGTGACACTGCCCTCCACAGCTAAGATGCTGAACAACAGCTCAACCTGGAGCTGGGCTGCCGTGAGTTGCCGGCAACGGCTAGGCTGCAGCCCATGCTGCAGTGGGTTGCCATGGGCTACCGTGTGTAGCCAGCAGCCAGCGTGAGCAGCCAGCAGCCGCAGTGAGTGGCCGTCCAGAAGCCGGCGACTGATCTGCCTCGCCCGGGAAGAGTGCAATGATGGTGCCAACTTGGGCCAGTGAAGCAACGTCCTCCACAACTAGACTGAAGAACAAAACGACAGCAACTTGTCTGTTCCCCTTCCCCCATTCCCCAGCACTGTTCCCATTCCCCCAATTCCCCAATAAAAATCTTTAAAAAAAAAAAAAAAGAATTCTTGCTGGAACATCTAAACTTTCTGGTGGGTCCCAAAATATAAGCAGGTGTGTATGCTTCTATACATTTCCAGAACAATGATATTGCTGATACTTGGATATTGCTGACTAATGGTTAATATAATACACAATATGTACAGTAACTTGTTTTTCTAATAAAAAATTAAGACCACAATTAACATTTATTGAGGGCGTATTATGTGTCAGGCCCTGAACGAAGTACACACATGGTAACTGGAGTGCTTTCTAATTGTTCCACCCCAAAACACAGAAAGGTAGCTACTACTCTTTCATTTTAAAGGTGAAGAAGCTGAGCCTTGGGAAGGCGAGGTGACTTATCAGGTCATATAGCTAGTAAGGGTCAGAACTGGAATTCATATCTAGGTCAGTTTGACTTCAAAGTTTCTTTCCATCAAGCCCCTCCTGTGACCTTGATCTCATTAACACTAACCTTTAAGTAAACGAACTAACTGACTCAATCTCAGATAAGAGGAAAGCATTCTGTTAGTTAGAAGCTTTGTATAATATTATAGATTCAGCTTGAAAATGAATGCCAGAGCCATTTATAACAAGTGCTTGGTATCTTATACTTCACATGCCTGGAAGTTCAATCTTAGGGACCTTTAAAAGAGGTCACTAACGATCAAGGTAAATGAAGCTTTTTACAATTTCTCTTATTTTAAATATAGCATAAAATAGACAGCATGAATTTTTATTGTAAAAATGACTCTCAAATGTTAACATATAGAGCCAATTTCTTAGGCATAGTTCCAGAACTTACTCACATTCTGCAAGATAACAGCTCTTAGGATTCAATAAATAGTACAAAGCAATTTTTTTCCTCCTAAGTCTGCACTTATCCAGTCATTCAGAAGGTCAATCTTTGGCTGAACGTTCATTAATTATGAAGTGTTGGCTTTCTGAGAAACTGTCAAAATGTAAGTTTTAATGAAACCATACAGTCATTATTGAACTGTAGGCTTTATTTAGTTTGTTTTAAAATTCAAGGAAATATTTAACCATTGAGAGTAAAGCACATTGGAATTATCTGAATAGTTTTACATTATTTATATGAGTAGAATGCATTTATTGATTTTTCTTATTTTTGGAGTCATTATGGGGACAGCATCTCCCAGCAACCTTATGGGAATATAATATACTGTGATGTACAAATATGCATATCATATGGCTAAGACAAATGTACCCATATTAACATTTAGGTTGGAAAATATATCTATCAAACCATTTTATTCATGCTTCCCCTACTCCAGAACTTGAAAATGTTGATAAATCAACTTCACATTCTTTCTACTAGAAGAAGCCCCATGAAATCAGAGGCTGAGTCTCTTTTACCCACCACAATGCTAAGTATATGGCAGGTATCCAAGTAATTATTGAATTGAACTAAATTTCTAGTAAAAATAATGGAATATATATCTTCTATCAGTTATGAGGGAATTTAATCATTAAAAAGTAGGATCTAATTATATGATAGAAAATTTAAATAATACAATTCAACAAACATTTCTTGATCACTTATTTCAAATTAATTTTGAGCAAAACTCAAGTGCCAGGAACTATGATTGGAATTTTACATACATTATCTCGTTAAGAGTTTTGTAGGGTATAAAACTCTGTTGCCTTAAAAAATTTTAAGAAAACACATAGTTTTCATTTTTCCCCTCAAAAACAATAACAAAACTACTAGTGAAATTGTAAACTAGAAACAATTCTTATCACAGAAAGGCTATCTTAATCTTTAAACTTTTAAGGAAATGAACTGTAACATACTTAGATTTGTGTAACTCATGTATATATATATTGGTATTGCTATTAATAAGAACCACGATTCAAATATGGGTCAGTAACTCAGTAACTTGGTATCGTTTACTAATGGGAAGATAAACATCATGAAGTACCTCCCATTAAGTGGTTGCTTTATGAGCACAGAAAATGGATCAGAGCTCTTTATTTTGATAGTAGGGCGATTACTATATAAATTATTCTTTACATATATTTTTATTTAAAAGTTGACCCCCAAGAAGATCCAAGTAGAGTCTCTTCAATTTCCAGGTTGTAAACTAAACATTTATCGCACATTTTGCACTTTTTTCCTAGAAAGCCTCCTTTCTGCAAGATACCTTTTTTCAAAGAACAATTGGAAAGGTCTTCGCAATTTGTTTTATTGTTAGTGTCACTAGCACCAAACACAGTGACATTAAGCATTTGACAAACACTTTACATTAATATTTCATCATAGCAGCAACCCTATGAGGTAGGTACTGTTAATATTTTTTCCATTCTATACATGAAGAAATTCAAGATCACATGGTCATAACACTAGGAATTTCTGTTTCCTCCTTTCTGTTTCAGCCACATAACCAGTTTCAAGGCCAAGCTCAGTTCCCATGTTCTCCATGAGAGCCTTTTGTAAATATTTTATTGTGTTGATAATTTCTTTCTCTGAATGCTTATATTACTTATCCTCACAACATAGTCTTCCACTAATTATAACTGTGGATAAAATACTACTGTATAAAATTTTAAACTTTTTTTTTCATGGTCTAAACTTGTCTCAACTAAGTGTGAGAAGTTTTGACTCCAGGTAAAAAGATTTTTCACCTGAGGCATTGCAATTTAATCCTTCTGACTAAAATAGCCAGAAGTTATTCTTTAAAATTCCAGAGATGCTGAAAGCAATGCCTGTGAGAGCAAAGACCTTCATTGCTCTTTTTACATTTGCTGAATGTCTCTACAATATGACTTCAGCTTATTTGACTTGGTCCCATTTAGCTGCCTCTGTATACTTCATCTTATGAAAGTCATTGGAAGTGATGAAGAAGAAAAAAATGACCATATCAGGAATGTCCTACGGAAGAGAAGTGGAATAAGGTAGATTCTAGATGAAATAAAATGGCAATCTCAGCTGAAATTTCCAAAATTAAATATAGTGTCTTATATTTAGTAAACCATAAATAAATATCTACACTTTGAAATTAAATTTTACTTTGCTTTAAGTGATAGCCCATTTCCTAGGATTTCTTTGGAATCTTCCTCAAACTTATAATTATACCAATGATTCCCTTAGGATTTTTAGTTTGTTGAAAGCCACACTTTTCTGTATGCCTTTATCTAACCTTTATTATTGAGACTTATA